GAGCTTATGATTTAACAAATAATCTTATATGAGTATTGTTGGAACCGGTTGAAAGTTGCTATTTTTGTAAATTTATGGTTGAGATTGTTGAGTGTTAATATTGATGTTTAAGGAGGAAGGATACTTGATCTAATTGATTGCCTGACGGATGGGCTGTGTGATTTGAGTACATGGGCTGTATGATTTGAGTACATGATCGAACGAATGAATAATGGGTTGGCAGATAGGATTAGTTGTTTTGGGTTGCCCAAAGGATGGGATTTGAGAATTTATTATTGAATTGTGGGTTAGTTAAATTTTAGGGAGGTTCCTTCAGAATTTCGATAGAATTTAGGCTAGTCACAATTAATAATTAAGTTAATAGGTTTATTTAGATTAATCTTTAACTTGATATATGATAAATAAAGTTCTTTAATTATTTTATTATTTATTTATTTATTTATTTACTTATTTTCTAAGGATTAATTATTATAATATATTGTTAATTACTATTCTTTTATTTAATTGTAATCAACTATGAATGTCTAGTTATGTAATTGCATCATGATATTTTAATTGTTTGCCAAGCTTGCATTTAATTGCAATGTTTGATTAATTGTGTTGTGATAATGTTATGATTTGTTTGTGTGGAGTGGAGATAAAGTGGGTCACCATTCATTTGTGAGGACGGTCCTGGAAATGATGAAAATATGAAATTTGACCGTCGGCCAGGTATGGGGAGATCAGCGCCTCTGTGTGCACCTGATGATATGATATGGATGATATAGAAAACCACATGGTGGCCTCCGATATGATATGGATGATATAGAAAACCACATGGTGGCCTCCCATTGATATGGAAAAGAAAGAAGAGAATGGAAAAACAATGAGAGGGCTGGTCAAGTGAGGATTAGACCTGTCGACCATGAATGGGGGATTAGCTTTCTAGTGCATACGTCATAAGAGCATGGGCCATGTGAGAGGACGGCTTATCGGGGTTTCGGTGATGCCACAGACCAATTTCCACGTGATGTGGTTATGTAAAGGTGTAAATATTTGTGAGTGTTGTTGTGATGTTATTTGTGTGACTGCCCGCGTGATCATATAATAAGTCAGATGACTAGATTTAATTATTTACACATTCGTGTGAATGCAAGTGTGGTGCAATAATTCTTATGCATTATAAAATTCACATTTCCCTTGTTTAACTTTTCAGGAATTAGGAATTTCCTTCGACTTGGCTAAGGCTCTGCAATGTTCTCCGCAAGGCTATAAAATATAAAATTTCTAAATTTCTGTGGTTAATTAATTAATGTACTATTATCTATAAGCATTTCATCACTTCTAGATGTTATCGAACTCTGCAGGGAATTATGTACCACTAGTCATGTATTAAGTTAGGTATAATAATTTATGAGAACCAAAGATGTATTATCATTAGGCCGAAGTATGTGTTATTCTAGATATCTTAGATTGCGCCAAGAATTGTGCGATTGTTAGTGTATACACATAGATTTTAATTTATATAGGCTTACTGTTTCTAAAATTTCGTGTGTGGCATGTATGGTTTAGTAGTTTAGGTTTACTACGGGTCTCAGTGGCTTTAAGCTTACCTGAGTCTTAGTACCAATCTAGCCTGTGGAATCGGGTCGTGACAATTATATACTATAAGATATATATATTAAATAAGAAATTATATTATATACTATATAAGGTATATAGTAAATACGGTAAGAATATAATATTTTTAATAATATTAAATTTATTATTTGGAAAAAAAATAAAAATAATTTAGTTTTGATTGGTTTTATTAATTGCTTATTTGAATCTAGATTCTATTGGATAAAATAAAAAATTATATTATATAAGGCATATATTAAATATGATAAGAATATAATATTTTTAATGATTTTTATTTTATTGGTTGAAAAAATAAAGATAATTTAATGATTTTAAATTTTATTGGTTGAAAAAATAAAGAATAATTTAATTAAATATGAAAAAATATATAATAAAAAATAAAGATAATTTAATTAAATATGAAAAAAATATAATATGTTTGATTATTATTTTTAATAAAATTTTAATTTCATTGGTTATAGTTATTTCCTATAAGTAATTTATCTAAAAAATATGATTTATTATTATTTATTAGGAAATATATTATAATATTTATTATTTGATTTTTGTGGACTTGTATTTATTAAGTATAAAAATTTGCAGACTTGTATTTATTTATTTTAGAGGACACATCAAAAGAGACAACAAGATGTATAATGTCTTTATACATTAATAAATTTGTAGGATAGCGGTTGTACAAAATACCTAACTACAAGTTAGAGCAATGAATGATATATAATAAAAATGCATGTTTAATACATATAAAATTTTTTAAGACAATCAATTAATACATCAAATGAATTTACTAAGAAAAAAATACAAAAAGTAAATAATAAATTATGATAATTAAAATAAGATTTTAAAAAATTAATAATATTATATAGTATAAAGATAAAAAATTAATTAACACATAAAAATAATGAGTATTAAAATTAATAATATTATATAATATAAAGGTAAAAAATTAATTAACGAATAAAAATAACGAGTACACATACGTGCAACGCACGATTAAAAAACTAGTATATATTAGAAGTGAAAATAAGAAAAACCCTAATTATAGAAATAAATGATTTTAACAATACCCTTAAAAAAAATTATAAAAAAACACTTGTATCCAAATCCAATTACACAACAAAGACTATAGTAAGATATTAATATTTTGATATTTTAATGGATTGGGTTAGCCTTGTATAAATATAAATATAAATACCAAACTCAACTTTCATATATCGTATACATTTCTAAATTCTCTCCACTAAATTAAATTAAAATACATATAATCCAAGCCTTGTAAATTGAATAGATTGTTATTCAAATTTTGCTCAACTTTAGTTAAATCCATTATATCAACTCGACGCTGCATTATGTATTAAATCTTAACACAATTAATTAAATTATATTAAACTGAAAAACAAAAAAAAAAAAAGAAATTGTTGTTAATAATAACGCGGAGAGAGAGAAGAACAACAAATTCCAAAAGTGAAGATATACATTTCTAAATTCCTCAACTAAATTAAATTAATACATATATAACTCAATATGTGCAAATTGAATAAATTGTTATTCAAACTTTGATCAATTTGAGTTGAATCCATTATATTAACTCAACTCCAGCATTATGTATTTAACATTAACGCAATTAAGTAAACATATTAAATAAAAAAAAGAAAACAAAAAAGAAAAGCAAATTTCGAAAGTGAAGATCGGTGTTTTAATCTAATCCAATAAACTCTCCCTTCTGTTTGCTTTATATGGAAGTCAAGTGTAAGTAACACAATTTACCACTTGGCAGTATTTAGGATTATGAAATGACAAATGTTAGAAGCATAAAATGGAAAATTAAAAAAAATAAAATTTCATGCAAGTAATTTATTAACTGTGTATATCAATGTGTCTTTTCATTGTTCAATCTTCATGTTTATGATATTAGGCGGGTTGCATATGTTGTGTTCGTGTCACCTGTCTAATTTTTGCGACGTATTCATGTCGACAAATTTGACACGATTATTAAATGGGCTGTGTTTATGTTGATCCTAATCGTGTCACGTGAATCCGTATCGAATTCGACTCGCCAACCCATTTTGACATCCCTAATAATTTTGTTATTTTTAAATGGGATTATAAAATATTATTTCATTCTTTAGTACTATTCCACGCATCGTGCAAGTTCGAGCACTAATATAAATATAAAGAAAAAATATATTAATAAAAAGAATATATTTTTTCTTTTTTATCTCTCTCCTAAATAAAATATTATGCATATTCTATTTGAATATTTATAATTAATTCAATATTGAAAAAGAAAATAAAATACTATTATTAAGAATAAAACCATTTTTCGAACTCAACATATAATAAGAAATAAATTATATAAAAAGATTAAATATTAATAAATATTAAATATTTTTAAAAAATATATCCAATCAAAAAATCATCCAAACATAAAGAAAAAAATATTAATACAAATAATATACTTTTTTTTTATCTCTCTTCTAAATAAATATTTTATATTTTGATCTAACACGGAATCAAATATTTAAAAAATAAAATATAAAAATTTTCAAATGTCTCATTATCATATGTATTTATTAAAAAATAAACTTAAAATAGATAACATTTAAAATTTTGAAATGCTTAATTGTATATATATAGTTATTTAAAAAAATAATTTCTGTAAATTACATCCAATAAACTAATAAAATGTTATTTTCAATCCGCTATGACTAAAGTTATTTGAGTATAGTCCAAAATGCATCAAAGAGTATTGAAAATCTTATTATTCTCTTCATTATCATATGTATTTATTAAAAAATAAACTTAAAATAGATAACATTTAAAATTTTGAAATGCTTAATTGTATATATATAGTTATTTAAAAAAATAATTTCTGTAAATTACATCCAATAAACTAATAAAATGTTATTTTCAATCCGCTATGACTAAAGTTATTTGAGTATAGTCCAAAATGCATCAAAGAGTATTGAAAATCTTATTATTCTCTTTTATTCTCATATTTATATATAGTACTAGTTTTTTTTATATCGTGCGTTGCACATTAATAATCCTCGTCATGTTTTCATTTTTTGCACTTTTTAATTTTTTATTTATATAATATAAAAAAATAAATTTTTATTTAGATTAAAATAAATATAATTGATTAATTTGTATTTGTTCAAAATCGGGTTCTAAGCTAATTTAGGTTTTATGGATTGGGCGAATTTGTGATTAAACGATTATTTAAACGAATTCAGATAATATACTGATAAATCTAAATAAATTTGGGACAGATTTGGATATTGCTGACTTATTTCTTAACGGGGCTACTTAAATTAATAATCTGAGTTCGGTTAGTTTATTTTTAACGGTTACCCGATGCGACTCTACTCTCGAGTCACGATCCTTCTAATTACCAATTTACCATCACCTACAGGCTACAGCCAGAAAAAAAAACAGAGAGGCAAAGATAAGCGACCAAAGTGATATAGAAACGCAGTCGCTAATCCCTCATTCTCTCTCTCAAAACTCTCTTCATGAAAATGAACTGGTCTTCGCCTACAAGGTAAATTTCGTTTCTTCAATTTCAAACTTTCTAGGTATCTGGATTTTGATTCTTTTTTAATCGGTTCAACTTGGTGCAGTGTGTGCAGTTCATTCAGTTCTTTATCATGGAGGAGCTCTTCCATCTCTTCCGTTGAGCTAGGGTTTCAGTTTAACAATTCCACTGGATTTTCCGTTTCTTCTTCCCATAGCAGAAAATTCTCTCGAAGCAGAAAATTCCACGTCTCTTGTTCTTCTTCTTCTCCCTCTTCTGGTAATTTCACTAATTCAATTGGTGTTGTTTTCACTCACATTTTCCTGTTTATTGAGTTTTAATCGAAAATTATGCTTGTAAGCTCCTTTGTACTGGAAGGGTTTGGGCTGTCTCTTTAGTGGCAGTGGAGGAAAAATTTTTGAATTAGAAATTAATGCTTTATGTAATTTAAGTGAAATGCCACACGTGGAATCCCAAAATGTTATGAATGCGTACTATTATTTCTTAATTCTTAATTTAAAAGTAACTGCTACTTTTCCGTTCGAGTTTTATCTAACTGTTTTTGGTGGGTGTACCTCTTCATTGGTTTAGTCATGCATTACATTTCAATCAGGAATTAAGATGGTATGAGTTCAAGGTATTTATGAGAAGTATTAGTCAAGTTCTTGAAGACCAATTTTATTTTTGTTCTTTGCATGAGCTGTGTGCATTATTTGCATGGCTGCTAAGCAACTGTTACAAGATGCCCTGCATTACTCTTTGGTTCTTGGATTTGATACTACTGCAGGTGAAATTTTCTAAGCCAGTCAGCCCTGTTGTTGCCCAGTGGCTGTGTAAGGGACTTAGAATTTAGGGGCTTTGCTGCAATACGTAACTTATTTGAACATTTTATCTTTGTTTTTGAACAGTGTTTCACTTTTTTTTTTTTTTTTGAAGAAAAACAGTGTTTCACTTTGAAATGTATAATATGTTCCCTTGAATATTCAGGTTTTTTTTTTTACCAATTTGTTTCTTTTCTATATCTGGATTATTTCTTTTGGTATATGCAGATCTTACTTTTTCACTCAATACTTATTTTTATTCAGATCCACTTTTGGTTAAGGCTGCTAGAGGAGAACCTGTAAATAGGCCTCCAGCATGGATGATGCGTCAGGCAGGAAGGTATATGGCTGTTTACAGAAAGCTTGCAGAGAAATACCCATCCTTCAGAGAGAGATCAGAGACAACTGATCTCATTGTGGAAATTTCTTTGCAGCCCTGGGAAGCTTTTCATCCAGATGGTGTTATTATTTTCTCCGACATACTCACACCTTTACCTGCATTTGGTGTCCCATTTGACATAGAAGAAGTGAGGGGGCCAGTTATTCAAACTCCAATTCGTTCTGAAGAAGGGTTAAATGCTTTACATCCCATTGAGCTGGAGAAACTCCACTTTGTAGGGGACTCTCTTAGAATTTTGCGACGCGAGGTTATTCCTACCTTTCTCAGTGCTATTTTATCTTATGCGACAATGTAGACCATGCTTCTACAATGCTCTTAAAATGTTCTATGCAGGTTGATGGGCGTGCTGCAGTATTGGGTTTTGTTGGAGCACCTTGGACTATTGCTACATATATAGTGGAAGGGGGTACAACTCGCACATATACTACCATAAAGAGCATGTGCCATACAGCACCAAATGTATTAAGGACTCTTCTCACTCATTTGACACAGGCAATAGCTGATTACATTGTTTACCAAGTGGAATCTGGGGCTCATTGCATACAAATATTTGATTCCTGGGGTGGACAACTACCACCCAACATGTGGGACTGTTGGTCAAAGCCATATATTGAAGAGGTAAGTTTGATCTGTTTCTATTAGTTTGCATGACAATTTCTTTTATATTCTAAAGGTATTATGACTTATATATAGTAGAGCTATTTTCAGTTAATAGGTCACCAATTTATATCATCCTATTAGAAAACTGGTCCCAAAAAAGAAATGAAAGTGAATATCAATGCTCGGGTTAGTGCTCCTGGTATCATTTCCTGGATTTGCAGAAGTTGTGAGTATGACGAGATCATTTGTCAGTTTGAGGAAAGTATTGTGCACAAATGTCATACTAAGGACTACCTTACACCTTGTAATATGACAGCACTAGTCGAATACTTTCAACAGTTTATACTACGCTGTAAAAATCACTGGATGCAAATTGGACTTTCTGCTGTATTATCTTAACTCTATATTGGTGTTTTTGAAATTGCAGATAGTTCGTAAAGTAAGGAATAAGTGCCCGGAAACACCACTTGTTCTCTACATTAATGGAAATGGTGGTCTTCTTGAGCGTATGAAAGGAACTGGAGTTGATGTGATTGGGTTAGACTGGACTGTGGATATGGCAGATGGAAGGAAGCATTTGGGTAGCGGGATCAGTGTACAGGGAAATGTGGATCCTGCTTATTTGTTTTCACCTTTACCTGCATTGACTGATGAAATACAACGGTTGGTGACAAAATAAATTTACTGACCAAACTTCTATTACCACGATATTCAATGTTGTTGCCTACTTGGAGCTACACTTGAATCAGTATGTGTAAGCTTATAGGTTAAGAATGCTGTCCTGCGGTCCTTATTCCACAATTGTATTTTTTTTTTTTTTATTTTGTGACAGTTTCCTGAATTTGAAATCTTTTGTTACATTTACACCAAATGTGTAAATGTCAATTGCTTGAATGGTAATTAGTTTTTTTACAAGTGTCTTATTCCTGGCATTAGAAGGATGAAGTATCAAAGTAACAAATTGAGCTATCTATAGTATACTGTGTTCATCTATTAGATGGTAGGGAACTAAGCTAAAACACATGACTATCTTCTTATGCTGATGAATTACTATGGCTCCTGGATCTTGCAATCTTAATTCTACATAAATAAGAAATGAAGTTGAGTTTCCAAAATTCTAAATCTGATGGATCATATTTTATTTTTCTTTTCCAGAGTTGTGGCATGTGCTGGGCCAAGAGGACATATTCTTAATCTTGGACATGGTGTTCTTGTTGGTACTCCTGAAGAAGCTGTTGCTCATTTCTTTAATGTTGCAAGGAGCTTGAACTTTGAAGCTCCTTTTCAAAATCATGTGGCTGGAGAACCAGAATTGGTTGTTTGAGTGATTTTAACAATTTTGAAGTGTTAATTGTGAGTTGATGCCTTATTCATCATTGTGACTGCTTACGAGTGAGTTGAGATTGCACAATTTTGAGGCACTGATTGGAGCTTTGAGGTCCTGTATATGTGTGTGCTCTGGGTAACTTGTTACCATCAATTGTATTTGTAATTAAAATATTCAATATGAGCCAACAAATCTCTCATTGATTGTGGTAGATATATGTTAGATGAGCATGTATGTATTCTTACCTTTCTATTGGACCTAGATATTCTGAAAAGGTTCTTCCTCAGTTTATTTTAACAGATGGATAACTGAATTTCTAAAATAGATGACTCAGTTATATTTAGTCTAAGAGTTCATTTTCTTGTTTCTTCTTCTTCATCTTCTTCCCCTCCCGCCCCCCCCCAAAAAAAAATCTTGTCACCTAATCGCCAATTGAATGGCTACTAAATAGATGGGATCTGGAATTTCTTTTGTCAAATGATGGTCTACTTAATATCGCTACTGTCATGATTGATTTGCATTTTGTTGGAGTTATTAAGACATACTCCGAGTTTCTGCTACTGGCACATTCTGTTTCTCATGGGGAGGGAGAAATTATCTCTTTAAAGATAGAGCTCTTATATATTGATGCTCTATCTATTTTGCTTTGCAAATGAGGGAGACAGACCTTATAAGTTAACCTATGCTGAGAATCTTTTTTGTTCAGATTTTTTCTTTGTCAACATGAACCATATTGCTCCAGCTACTTGACAAGTAGATAAGGGAAAAATCAAGCTTGTAGTTTTTCAAGATGATCGTATTTCGAACCAGAAGAATTATGAAGTTGATCATCTCCTGTCATCTTGTCTCCTGTTCTATGGTTATTCCTTTAATTCTTTTATTTGCAATTCACTGTTTATTTTATATCGGTTGCTAGACATGTATAAATATATTTTTTTGGGTGGCTATTGATCTATTTCTTGAATTTACCATGTGATTGAAAGAATTATGAAAATGGTTTTTAGCGATGCAGATGCCAGGAAAGAGGAGCAGGTATAACTTTAAGTTCTGATGCATATTTATTTTTGGAATGATTTCACATTCTAATCGTACAAGCTAATTATAGATGAGGTAGGTGAGTTTTGTAATATATGCTATTACTGTTTCTATGGAATATAAGCATTCACCAAATGACTTTTACTTTCTGACAAGGTACTATGCAATGCCATAGATGTATGTGTTCATGAGTAAAGTGTACATATATTTGAGTTTTTATTAAGTGCAAGTATGACTTGCAGTGGGACATATGGGATGCTAAGGCAGGAGTAAATTTTGTGAAAAGAGTCATGGAAATTCATATCTCAGGTATTCATTGCTTTTTCTACTTTCTTTAAAAATATAAAATTGTTGATGAGTCTTGAATTTGCTCTTGGGAAGATGCTTAGTGTTTTAGGAACTTTTTGTTATCTCTTTGCTCTTCTTTATAGAATTTTTGCCTTGTATAATCTGTAGTCTTACAATTTCCTGCTCATGGTAATTGGAACTTTCACTTCTGTAGAAATTTCAGTCATAAGGAGAACAAAATTGCTTTTGTTGCTTGTTTTGTTGGATAATGTTCATTGTCTCCTAGAGCATATAGAATGATTTGGCCTCAATAGAGATTATCCATAGGATAAATTTATGTTTTGTTGTAGATAGCGTCCAGTTAACATGTGGCTGCAATTAAGAAGAATATGGTCAATTGATGGGCATTGTTCTTTTGTTGTAGATAGTTCCCTAGACACTTTATGCATCACTCAAAATGTAGACACTTTAGCCAATTGATGATCTTAATATAGCTATAGATAATTGAGAAAAGCAACAAGAAAGAAGAAGAGAGAACGTTCTCGCAGTAAGCATCCATGCTTCAATGTCAAAACTAAATACTAATTCTCAATGTCAAGAACAAAATCAAAATTGTTTTAGTTTAAAAATTTATTGATTCATTGAGATAATTCATTTTCTATTAGGATCATCCGAAATTAATAATGTAAATGGAACAGGAATAAAATGTAAACAAATTCCTAAGGGTGTGTGCTCCTAAAAAATAAAAATTCTAAATAGGTTGAGTAAATTTAAATAACTACTGTAGGCACTCTCTTGTTAGACATAATCGTCCTTTCTTATTCTAGGATTTAAGCATTTGACCCAGCATTCCAAATTGGACAAGAATATGATCTCTTTGCCAGGTCTTAAGTTGTCCTGGTTTCAATTTCTTCAGCATAACGATAATTCATCACACAGCACCGTACTTCAAAGAAAATGTTTTTGTAGATGCAATGGTACACCTCGTCGAAATATGTGGATATCCTAACAAAATATGCCAACATCGTATAGGTAATACATTACACTACAAATAAAAATGAGTCCTTAAATGTAAACTATTAAACATGCAGCACTGATGAATGTTGAGGTAATGCTGATTTCACTGGATTTCTAATTGCTGTAGTCTTCATTCCTAGTTTTGAGAGTAAAGAAATATATGATTTCTTCTGAAGTCTGCTGACATGGTGTTTCTGTTGGTTGTGAATTAAATATTTATTGCCTGACATCAGTTTGAATGTGATGCAATAGAGATATGACAGCAAAGATTGTTTGGAATTGGAGAAATAAGTTGTTGGTCTAGGCATTGAGATATTTAAGATTTTATTTCTGTATTAAGAGAGTTTAATTGGTAGGCATTGGTGTAAAATTCTACGGAAGTGGTTTTAGTGGTATAAGAAAATGCATGTTAATGGGTTCTCTCCGTGCACTGTGAAGATTAACCTAAGGCAATGCAGCAACAGAAAATAAGAAGAATTAGAGAGAGAGAGAAAGATCAAGTATAACTTTCGGCGTCCATGCTTTAACAACCAAAATTGTTTCTAACCTCGTCAGTCAAAAAGTTACAGAAAATTTATAGGTTACAAATGAATTTATAGACCAATTGATTCCTTCTTGTATTTGGAAAGTTATTTTAGATAAGAACGTTTTAATAAACACAAAAGAGGAAGATAATAGAAAGAAATTTCTGAACAAGAATGAAATTCCTTAATATAGGCAAAACCTAAACAATTACTGATTGTGCTTTCTCTTTGATCATATTACCTTGTATCATGGCATATTGTTAATAATTTTGGCTTCATATTTCTGAATTGGATATCACTTTATATAACCATGAGATAAATATATCATAAAAAATTACTGCATTGAAAGAAAGTATAGTGCTTAGATGATGTTATAAATCATTAAAGATTAATGGTTTATATCTCTGTTTTGTGATGTGATCCTATTTTGTTTGTCTCAATATCAAATCCTTGTGTTGGTTATTTTGATGCATTTGATTGACATTTAGAATTAGACATTAATCATACTTTTTACTTGAACATAAACAAGTGCTAAAAATTTAGCATTCAAAATCATGCCACACCATTAGTGCCTTTTTGTTTCCACATTGATTATGCTTGCACCTGGCTTCTGAGTTGTCATTCCTTTTATATTAAGGTTACGTTTGGCAAGCCATGGGACATAATAACTTTACCAAAAGGATCCTAAATGCATTTTGAAGTGTCCCTTCTCTGTTCCCTTCCCTTTTTCCGGGGATTGATGATTGATGAGATAAATCAAATAAGGAATGATCCTGATCAATTTGATTAGGTACTCCCATCTTGTTGTATTATTGAACTCCGATAACAGGAAAAAGCCAAAAGCTCTGTCTTTCTTTTCACTGTTGGTGCAGTAAAAATTGCTAGGTTTGAAGATTTGATGACTGAATCAGTTCGTGAATTTATTGAATTTATTTTCCTCATAGTTAATCTGCCTTTCATCTGAACACTGAAAGAGGCCCTGGAGGTGAGATGATGGTTTCACTTTTTTTCATCCACATATTGTTAATGCATTTTAGAGTTATTGTATTTTTGGATTTCTCTCTTAGAATTGTGCAGCAAAGTGCCAATCTTGAAAAGCCCAATTTATTTATGAATAAGCATAACTGAAAATTTCCTAATTATCTTGCTAAGTACAGCCATAATGCCAGGGTAAGTTTTGTTAACTCCGTCTTGTTTCTGAGTTATTTTTGTTTGACAAGTAGTCTAACCATTAGCATTTATAGGTTTGAGCTTCAATTTCTGGTCAAATTTTTGCACTCTTAAGATGGGTATTATAGTTTATTATCTATTTTTCTAAATATTATTTCTTCAGTTGCTTCAATGAATAAAGCTGAGCAAAAGCCCACAGATACGCTTCTAATTTTGTACTCAGAACTCTGGTCCCTTATTTCTACCTTTGGACTCTAATAAACCTCATAGACATTGCAAAGCAAGTTTGCAACTATAATCTTGGCTCCAGTTGCATCTGAGTTTTCCTTACAGGATGAAAATTTTTAGTGCTATCTGATTTCTGGGCCATCTTAATTTTGTTACAGAATGCTCTTTTTTTTTTTTTTTTTTTTTTTTTAAACCTTCTGACATTGCAAAAGCCAAGTTTTGCAAACTATAATCTTGGACTCCAGTTGCATCTGAGTTTTCCTTACAGGGTGAAAATTGTTTAGTGCTATCTGATTTCTTGGGCCATCTTAATTTTGTTACAGAATTGCTCTTTTTTTTTTTTTTTTTTTTTTTTTTTTTTTTTTTTTTTTTTCTTTCTGCATAAGCTTTGTAACTTCTATTGTTATTGCTACTCTTCCTAGTCAATGAAAGATGAGCAGTATTTCGGTCTTCAATCCATGTATTTCTATTGAAGCTTGTGTCTCAAATAAATTACACCTTTAACATTCAACATTCAATATTTGTCAAATTTATTGTTTTCTCTGGTTTGTATTACACCTTTAACATTCAACATTCAATATTTGTCAAATTTATTGTTTTCTCTGGTTTGTATTACACCTTTAACATTCAACATTCAATATTTGTCAAATTTATTGTTTTCTCTGGTTTGTATTACACCTTTAACATTCAACATTCAATATTTGTCAAATTTATTGTTTTCTCTGGTTTGTATTACACCTTTAACATTCAACATTCAATATTTGTCAAATTTATTGTTTTCTCTGGTTTGTATCTTGAGAAAAGTTTTATGCCTTTAGGCTTTTAATCAGAGTAGTATTTAACCAGCATGCATCTTCTTGAGATGAGGTATTATCAACCAATATTTTTTTTGGGAGACTATTTGGTTTTAATTTGTTTGTTAAGCATTCATAGGAGCACAAATACCTCAGGCACAGAGATAGGTCTGGTGGCGCCAGCTTAGCAATAGCAGTCTGATTAATCCAATAGTTCTTTGGGGAGGTAAGAAGAAGATGCTGGTGCTTGGAGTTCTGATGGTTACTTGGCTTTTTGGCTACACCAG